TGGTCCTGCAGCAATGCTCGCGAGACGTCATTTTAGGCATGGATTTCCTGGACCAGCAAGGCGCAGTAATCGACCTAAGATCCAGGTCAATCACGCTGTCCACGGATAATGCAACGGCGTCAGACTGCAACGTCGCTCACAATGCCTTGAATGTGACAGAAGAGCAGGTAACCATCCCGCCACTGTCGAGCGTCATCATTTCCGTCGGCACCAAAGCGTCTACCAACTTACAAGGTGTCATCGAAGGCGACCAGCACCTGCTCCTAAACCGTCAGATGTGCGTCGCAAGAGGCATAGCCAAGCTTCATAACGGCGAAGCCAAGGTAATGGTGACGAACTTCAGCAACGAATATAGGCACTTAAATAGGGGCACGACGGTAGCACATCTAAGCGAATTTGTGGAAGCGAGCAATGCCTTCGCCCTCACTGATTCTCAGGGAGCCGCAACGTCGACAGCAGTGTCCGCGCCCGCCTTCGACGTCAATCAAAGCCTTTCCAGGCAGCAACAAAAGGAGCTCAAAGCCTTACTCCACCAATACAAGGACTGCTTCTCGTCGTCGTCGAGGCTTCGTCAGACCCCTCTCGCGAAACATCGCGTCATAACCGACGAATATGCCCGTCCGCTCCGTCAGAGCCCCTACCGAGTTTCTGCACGGGAACGCGAGGCCATCAAGCAACAAGTCGACGAAATGCTGCGTGACGACATCATTCAGCCGTCTACGAGTCCGTGGGCATCACCCGTGGTGTTGGTGAAGAAGAAGGACGGAACCCTACGTTTTTGCGTCGATTATCGTCGCCTGAACAACATCACGAAGAAAGACGTGTATCCCCTCCCACGGATAGACGATGCTCTGGACAGACTCTACAACGCCAAGTATTTTTCGTCGATGGATCTCAAAACCGGCTACTGGCAAATCGAAGTAGACGAGAGAGACCGAGAGAAGACTGCCTTCATAACACCAGACGGCCTATTCGAGTTTAAGGTCATGCCCTTTGGTCTTTGCTCGGCGCCTGCGACGTTCCAACGGGTTATGGACACAGTACTCGCAGGCTTGAAGTGGCAGACTTGCCTCGTCTACTTGGACGACGTAGTCGTATTTTCTTCCAACTTCGACGAGCACCTCCGGCGCCTTGAAGCTGTTCTTCGGGTAATCAAAGCCTCGGGACTTACCCTGAAGCCAGAAAAGTGCCGCTTCGCCTACGAGGAACTATTGTTCCTTGGCCACGTTATCAGCAAGTCGGGAGTGCTCCCTGATCCACAGAAAACAGCTGCGATCGCCGACTTTCCTGCACCCACCGACAAGAAAGCAGTACGCCGATTTCTTGGCCTCTGCGCTTATTACAGGCGCTTCGTGAAGAACTTTTCGCGGATCGCCGAGCCACTGACGTACCTCACGAAGGCCGACGTCGACTTCAAATGGGAAACGCCGCAAGTCGAGACATTTCAAGAATTAAAGCGACGCCTGCAAACGCCGCCAATACTGGCGCACTTCGACGAAGAAGCTGACACCGAAATTCACACGGACGCAAGCAGCACAGGGCTCGGCGCCGTGATCGTGCAGAGGACCGACGGACTTGAAAGGGTCATCAGTTACGCTAGCCGGTCACTTTCGAAGGCAGAAGCCAATTATTCCACGACAGAAAAGGAATGCCTTGCCATCATCTGGGCTACATCAAAGTTCCGCCCCTACCTGTACGGCAGGCCTTTCAAAGTCGTGAGTGACCACCACGCCTTGTGTTGGCTAGCTAACTTGAAGGATCCATCAGGGCGCCTCGCACGGTGGAGTCTCAGACTACAAGAATTTGACATCACCGTCGTCTACAAGAGCGGACGAAAGCACTCCGACGCCGACTGCTTGTCTCGCGCCCCTGTCGATCCGCCGCCCCAGGATGACCAGGACGACGACTCTTTCCTGGGACCCATAAGTACCGACGACTACGCGGAACGCCAACGAGCTGACCCGGAGCTCAAGATCCTCATGGACTACCTGCAAGGCAAGACCGCCGACGTGCCGAAAGTATTCCGCCGAGAACTGGCTTCGTTTTTCCTGCGAAACAACGTCCTCCTGAAGAAAAACTTCTCGCCGCTCCGCGCCGACCACCTCCTCGTGGTACCTTCAGCGTTACGTCCAGAGGTTCTGGAAGCATTACACGACGACCCGACAGCCGGACATCTTGGTGTTTCCCGCACACTGTCACGAATACAAGAGAGGTACTATTGGCCTCGCCTCGCTGCCGACGTCGCCCACTACGTAAAAACATGCAGAGACTGTCAGCGACGCAAGACGCCGACAACTAGGCCAGCCGGACTTCTGCAACCCGTCGAACCACCTCAACGGCCATTCCAACAAATCGGTATGGACTTACTGGGGCCGTTCCCGACGTCAACTTCTGGCAACAAATGGATTGTCGTAGCGACTGACTACCTCACCCGCTATGCCGAAACAAGGGCCTTGCCCAAGGGCACTGCCGCCGAGGTCGCCATGTTCTTCATTGAGAACATCGTCCTCCGCCACGGAGCCCCCGAGGTCCTCATCACCGACAGAGGTACGGCCTTTACGGCTGACCTAACGCAAGCGATCTTGAGGTACAGTCAGACAAGCCACCGCCGAACCACCGCGTACCACCCACAGACGAATGGCCTCACCGAGCGTCTAAATAAGACCATCGCCGACATGCTGGCCATGTACGTGGACGTCGAGCACAAGACGTGGGACGCCATACTCCCGTATGTAACCTTCGCGTACAACACGGCCGTGCAGGAAACGACGCAGTTTGCTCCATACAAGCTCGTCTACGGACGGAGCCCAACAACGACGCTTGACGCCATGCTACCGGTCGGCACCGACGAAGAAGACCTCGACGTCGCCAGCTACCTGGATCGCGCTGAAGAAGCTCGACAGCTAGCCCGCCTGCGTATCAAGAGCCAACAGACGGTCGACAGGCGCCACTACAACCTTCGACGACACCACACCGAATACCAACCAGGTGACCTTGTCTGGGTCTGGACGCCGATACGACGACGGGGATTGTCTGAGAAGCTCCTGCGACGCTACTTTGGACCCTACAAGGTAGTCCGACGTCGTGGTGAACTGGACTATGAGGTCGTGCCCGATGGCTTAACGTCATCCCAACGACGCCGTGCACGACCCGAAGTCGTACACGTGGGGCGACTTAAACCTTATTACGCGCTCTGATTAGCTGTGACGCATTGTTAATGTAATTTATTGCATGTACTCTCTCTTATGTTCTGTCTTTAGCATCGGGACGATGCTTTTTTCAGAGGGGGGTAGTGACACGTGCGGTTCTTTTGGTTTACGAAGGAAGACGCTATCACTTTCTGTTAAGCGCAACGCAGGCCGCGTTTATCTTGTATGCCACTCTGGAACGCGTTACGACGCGTGTATAAAAAGCCGGCGCAGTGCGCCACTGGGGGTCTTTTTTTTTTTTTTTCGTCGGCCGACGACTGTTCACGCCGCTGTTGCTGTGAGTTGTGTTTGGCCCTGTTTTGCTGGGCACAAGTTCGCCCAATAAACAGTTCGCCTGACACCGCCCTGACTCCTGCGTGCTTCCTCTCAAGTGCTGCGTGTATCACAACCTCGTGACACTATGATTGTGCTTTTGTTCACCTAGTAACTGTGGCACATACCCACTTCAGGCATAATTCCTGATCGTCGTCAGTCACTGCATGAACAATTGGCACAAAATTCCTTGCAAGTGTTTAGCGGATACTACACTTCTCAGAATATTCAAGAAAAATGACGAAGACTAGCATAGTAAATGTCGGCCTTCTAAAAAAAATAATAATAATGCCGTAATCGGTGCCAAGCAAATGTGCTTTCAGTAGTCACCCAATGAGTGTTTAAAAAAGGCTCTGACAGGCCGCTTCTCTGGCTTTCGCTGCGACTGCGCTGCGCCTTACGCGCAGGCCTGGCGTTTTTTTATTTCGTTATATCTTTTATAGCTTCTATTTTCTCTTCGTTTTGTGTGCTTATTCAATATTATGCGCAATAATATTGTCCTGCCCCATAATAAAGGTTTTATATTCCATTCCACTTCCCTCGAGCAATGAGAGGCCGTGTCGGCCAGCTCCGATCCAGTCATCCAGACAAACGTCGTGAGGTGGTCCACACAAGGTACTTTTTTTTTTCATTTATCGAACTCAATAAAATCATGAGCACCTTATTACTAGAGACCATAGGTCGGCAAGTTCACTCACAACTCGACTCATTCGGACTCACTCAGATTGAGCCGTGAGACCGAGTTGGTCCGGGCGAGTGACATCTTGGCGGGTTCGAGTTTGAGCGAGTCTGCTTAACAAGAATTTTTCGTGAGTGTGGAAATTCGTACCACTAGTTTTCACTGCCAAGTTGTCGAAATGAATCAAGTAGCCTGCCTATCAACTCTTCTGCAATTCATTACTCTATCTAATTTCTTTAATAACTGGAATAATTTACATCTCTAATCACCTTAAGGTATCAGGAAAAATAGTCATAAAAGTGGCAAGCAAAATTTAAAATTTCCCTTGCTTCTGAGGTTTTTAGGAGGCATTTCTTGAAACGCAGTGTCAGGCTGGCCAGACTAGGAGCACTTTTCTAGCTTTCAGGTGCATCGCTTTCACTATCAATAAAACCTTAATGCTCCACGTCGAATTTGCTTTTAGCTTTACTGCAGCACAGCAATGCAACATGGCATAGCATTTTTTTTCCCGAAAAGTAAGTACTGTGCAGCAAAGCGTGCAGCCTGGGCCAGTGTCTCACATATCGACCTGCCAGTAAACCGAAGTATCCTGCGACTCTCTTCAGATTCGATGTATTGATGCTCAACTGTATCTGACCGAATGCAGGCACTGACGAATTCCTTTACGTCCCCCATCAATCAGAAGTTGCTGCATAAAGCCCCCCTTCGCTATTAACAGCACGTCATTCTTTTGCTCCATTCCCAGTCAAAGCCTTATTGAACACCTTCTGCAAAAGTCACAGAAAGATCGAGAACAGTACTTAAGTAAACAAACTTTTTATTTACAAGACACAACATCTGTATCCATTTATTTACACAGACCTTCAGTGATTCCCGAGACCATTGTCTGTTGCTGCGTCATCCACGGGTGGGTCAGCAACGGCGCTGATCTCTGTGCTGACGGAATCATCTGCAACCGCAGGAGGCTCAACGGTGCTCTGAAGAAGAGGTGAAGACACTGGCTCATCCTTCGACTCATCCATTGGCTCATCCTTAACCTCGTTCCTTCCATCCTCCATTGATGCTGTTGCCTCGCTAGGGGTTTCTGTCGAGTGCTGTTGGTCCTCTTTTGTGACATCAGTCAATGTGATTTCATCAGTGACGCTCAAATCATCTGTTTCTGAGCTCGCAGGAACAGTAAAGTCCTCTTCGAAATCTGAAACCAGGTGTTTCATAGGCTGCACGATGTCTTCGCAATGGAGGTGGCCCATGTTCTCCTGCAAATAAACAGAACAAGTGACGAAGTTTTCCTGCCTTATTGCACCCTTTAAAGATAGGGAAAAAGAGAGTGTAAGAAGTTTGCTTAAAAGAGCACTAATTTTCGAAGCTTAATCCACTCTGTCGTAGAAAGCTCCCGTATACAGAGACAGCTCTGGGCAAGTGTGAAGACCGGGAATTTTGAATAAGATATTTCAATTTGATGTTAAAGTTGATTTTTGCGTGGCACACCTACTAATATTGCCACATTCCAAATTATGTTATCGCCTCATTTCACTGTCATTAATTCTCAATGCGAACCGCGCCTAAGTGTTCGAGAAGCTTCGGGACTACTGTAGATTATGTTATTATGATTACACTCCCACTTCGCAAGAAGTACAGATTAGCAATAACGTTATAATATTCAATGTCAAGTGTATAAATGCCGACGTGCTTCATCGCTTGACAGTTGATCGACAGCCAATGCTCTGTTCGCCGCTATCAGTGCCAGTGGGCATCGCTGTAATCTGATCTTCAGTTCATGGCCACGAGTTCGGCCGAATAAACAGTTTCCCCTTGTAATTACAGTCTGCTTCCTTCGTCCATGTCACGACCCCGTGACAATATTGACACTGTCATGATGTCAGGTATCCATTCTGGAGACTTCACACACCAGCAGGTCTAGCTGTGATGACATAAGGTACCAAAACATCCCGAAATGGCCGCTTGTGTGTTACCAACTGAGCCATGAAGCAGAGCTGCCACGAAAAATCTCCCAATATTTCGTGCAAGCATGTGAAAAAAAAAGGTTGCAGGGTTTAGTAATGTCAGTATATAGAAGGAACGAAATACTTTCTAATAAAGAACATATTGTAATTAATTTTTCAAGGTGCACTCACACTTATCAGTAAATTTTTCAAGCTTTTTAGGGAATGGCCTTTTATTTGATGCAAAAACAACTGCTGAAAATTTTTTTCTCAGTTCCTCTTTAAAGTTATCAGGATAAGACACTGTATATGTTTGACCTTAGATGATTACTTTGTCAGGCAATCTTCATTTGAGCTTAGTAAGGCCAAAGGTTTTCAAATGCTTTACTGCTTCATGAGAACTTTACTCTAGTTTTTCGAAGTCGTGCATCAGATGCTCTTTGTTCAGCAGAAAATTACAAGTCACTTATCAGGATATGAAAATAAGCTACTTGTCTCACCATTAAACTTCAAACAAGACAAGACTGAATCAGTATGACCTTAAACCCTACAGCAAGAGTGCCTGCCCAACACTTGACAAATTGGCGATAAGCTAAAACAAACTGAGCCTGTTCAGTCGTACAGTTGAACTCGCACATATTGAACAAACGAAAAAAATCAGAATTAGTTCAATACACTGTATAACTACATGTAAAACTTTCTTGCAGAATTCGCTGCATTTCTAACGTGAATATCACCGTGCAAGTTCGATTCACGGCACTGCAAGGAAGGTGGGCTCATAGCATTATGCTGGGCTTCAACCTGTGATTAGTAACTGAGCATGCAGGCTATATGCAGGTGCATGTTATATGCAAGAAAATATGCTATCAATGTAAACAGGGCCTCAACACCCTTATAGCGTAGCGCTAGTGGTGGCCAGCCGGCTGGAGAAAAAAGATGACGAGTGCTGGTGGCTCGTGGCGCGAGAAGCCTAGAATGTTCGTAGGCTTCCAGCTGGCTGGACGTCACGGCTGCTGCTCTACTTCGGCAACTCGCTTCCTCCTGTAAGTATCATCTGCTCATTTAACCTGCGACGACGGTACGTCTACGTCGGACACTATCACGTCGCTACAATTGGTGACCACGAACACACAGACAAGCGACTGGCACTGCACTACTGCCACCGAGCTCCGCGGCCATGTTCCAGTCAGCGCAAGCCTGGCAGCCCCAATTTGACACGCCACTCCCACCATTTCGGACCTCTCGCCTAGAGTCGTAGTTCGATGAGTTTGTGGTGACCTTGTATCACAATGGCATCTGGATCCAAGAGTTCATGTACGAGGTATAAGAATATCACCTTCCACATAACCTAAAACGCCGCCTCACATACTTCTCCTGGAGTACTCGCCCGTACGATGACCTGCGAGACGCCATGCTCAAGTTTACGGCAGAGAACTTGATACTTCTCCCAAAAGCGACACAACTGCACCTGGCTCACCATCATCCAGGACGCCTTCTGCACCACAGCCAGTTCAGATCGTTCCTCTGCCAACACTAATTGGCCAAACAGGTAACGTAGACCAACCTTCCATGCCAATCGACCCGTCGTTTCAGAGACCTGCAGCCCCCGGAGTCCATGGCTGTTGCCTCCGGCATGCCGGATATGCCACCTCTCTCAATCACGGATTCGATGCTAGCCACTGCTCCGGGCACAGGCGGATTCACAGCAGAAACATACTCAGCTGCACTGTCTGCCCCAGGCGATTCGATGACCTCAGCCTGGCCAGCTGAGCTGCCTGCAGACTCTATGCCTGTCCCAACACATGTGGAAGCCTAGGACTCCATGCCCACCATGGCGCCAGAGCCCATTGTCGCGCTGCATGCTATCAGTTTTCCCAACACACTGGTGCCAGCTGCTGAAACGCTCGTAGGCTCTCAGGTGGACCTCGAGTTTCCTACACCTCAAGGGGCAGCCAGGGTTTTCCAGACCAGCATGGGAGGATTTCCTCTCACCTTTCTGAGAAGCCAGGCCACACGCCTTGTCACCTATCCACAAAGCAGGTACCCTCCGGTGTCGCGGACAGCCGTTCCGTATTATGCCCACCTTCTTGTGAAGGCAGGACAGGCAGCATCACGTCTATGCGCAGTGCACGACCCATGGTCTGTCCAGAACATGCGTTGCGCTGTTCACAAACACACCATTGTGGTCACTCAAGCAGCTGCAACACACCATGCTTAATGCGGTGTCGACCTTGGGGTTTGAACCAATTTCACCGCCACAGTCTTCAACAGTCTTCTCTGCCTTGGTCGCTGCTCCTAGTGACGCACAATCATCGTGGTCCTCACTCGCTGCGTGGTTCCCAGTGACGCCCACCAAAACTGTCAGACTCCTCTGTACGCATTCTAGCCTGATGACATTCGGACTTCGCAGTGGACACTTTAGGAACTACCGCACATGTGCATAGTGTTTACATGTTCGTGTTACCTCTTTCCCATTCATATGTTTTTATCGCGTAACACGCTAGGCGGGGAGCCCTTGTAGGGTAGCACTAGTGGCAGCCCCTACAAGCCGGCTGGAGAAAAAAAATTACGAGTGTTGGTGGCTCATGGCGCGAGAAGCCTAGAATGTTCGTAGACTTCTAGCTGGCTTCCTCCTGTAAGTGTCGTCTGCTCATTTAACCTGCGACGATGGCACGTCTACGTCGGATGCTGTCACGTTGCTACTGTTATATCAAGTGTTTTGACTGTTTTCGTTCGATGTAGCACTAAACTTTCCTATGCATTGACATGAAAGTATTGCAATGTTCGAAAATAGTTTGATGTAAAGGATTATTCGATTTATCCGATGATATAATATCTGTGGTTTCATGTACCAAAACCAAGGTATGATTATAAGAGACGCCATAATGGAGGAGTTCGAAAATTTCAAACGTCCACTGTTCTTTACCGTGCACTCACATCGCACAGTACAAAGCCTTTAGCCTCCATCAAAATGCGACCATGGTGCCCAGGATCAAACCTGCAACCTTCGGCTCAGCATCCAAACACCATTATTGCTACACCATGGCAGTGGACAATCGATTTACCCAAGTTTGATATATAGTCGGGCTTGACTGTACAAGTGAACAAATCCAATGCACAGGCATAAAATTCAGGGAAATGAATGTACAGCAGAGTCTGATCTGATTTTGCAATGCCCTACATACTAAGCTCCCCTACTGTGGACATCTTTCGAGCCAGTAGAGGAAGCAAAGCTTAAACTTTAAGATGCCGCTTAACAAACTAAAAAAAGAACACTCCTTTGGTCAGAGAAAGAGAGCTAAGCACAGCTACTTTTAGTGATAAGAGATGAGTGCCTACTCGCATTATTTTTTTTTTTGTCATAAATGAAAGGTCATATCTATTAACAGCAACATGAAAATAAAGGCCGGTTTTGCCTTTAGCTGCGTCCCTAACGTCCATCAATTACACAAAGATCATTCTAACGGACATGACAGCCACGACTCAAGGTCTTTACAATATTCACATAACGAAAAAATCTGCTTTGATAGTTGCGATACATCCATGCTATCATACAATGAACAACAGAACATGGTCAAGTTGCGTGAGTGACAGTACTGTAAACTATGCATTTGCGTGTTGATGTTTGAAAGGTCTAAAAGGCCTGGCACAAATGGTGAAACATTAAAGTGAATCAAAGGATGCAACTGACCAGTTTGGCAACATAGGTAGCTGGCACTCCTAATAACTTGCCAATTTCTGCGGCAGGGAACAGCAATGACAGACAGGTGTTTATAAATGGCACCAACTCGTTGGCAAAGGAACCACAGAAGCGAGACAGCGTCTCAGTCTCTTTCTCTGTCAGCGTGGGTTCTTCTGCCCTGAATTGAAAAAAAAAAAAGATGTGGAACAAAATATAACAAAAAGAGGTTTACTGTTACTACAAAACTTCTTACATGTCATATCATAAAATGCAAAATGTGAAGCACGCTACTCAGTTGTGCAAATAGCTGCACCTTTTTGTACAAATTTTTTCAGAAAAGTTGCTGCATAGATCATGCTTAGCATACAAATAACATGCTTCATTTTTCTATTTGTATTCATCCAAGAAAGTTAAGCTGTTTGTCATAGTCTTCATCAAGGTATCATCAAAAGCAAAGCGGCGGCTCTCTTTCTTGTTCCGTTTTTATTTTATTGTATTTCATTATAGTCGTGCCCGCTTATAAAGAACCTGAGCGTGATGTGGCATCCGTTCACTATTTCGCAATGTCATAGTAAATTAAACGCAGCTTTAAAACAGCTGCATGTAAAAACGCAAAATTTTTTTGCAGAAAAGTTCGTAACGCACATGTTTTGAAGAGCAAAGGCGATAGGGTTGTCTCGAGCTCACCTAAAGCGGCAGCCCGTGCTCTTCGCCCTTGGCATATACAAGCTTTAAAGCAACACTAAAGGCAACTATGAGGTCGACGTTGATTGTTGAAATAGCGGTCCAGAAACTTCATAGTGTTACTTTTATGCCAAAGAAGGGCCTATTTTGAAATAAAATCACATTTTAGTGGTTCCAATCGGGTTAGTGCCCTTCAAATTACCCGCCTCAAGAGGTGGACCGACTGGACTGATTCAGGTCACTGTTGCCGCGCACAACGTTGCCCGGCTTTACTGCGTTAGTAGCAGCAGACCGAAAGCAGCGGGAGCCACAGCAGCAACAATGGCCATTGATCAATTTCCCGCTATTGGCTTTGAGATTGCAGACGTTTTTTGTTTCAACTGCGCCCCGCTAGATGGCACCACCTGTCCCGTGTAACCACGCGGAAATTGAATTTTTGAACCACTCACGCCATTCCCCATAGTAACGTCTGGGTGTTCTTTTTTCGATGAATCAAGCAGAAACAAACAAGCAGCATTTTATTGCATCTCTTGATGTACGGAAGGTTCTTCATTTAGTGCAGTTAGATCTATTACTAGTGATTAATTGTAGGCAGTTCTTCTGAAGTCATCAGGATCTTTTTGGAAATTTTCTACTGTGGCACTTGTGCTCTAGTGCATTTATTTTAATTTTTTGGTAAGTAGGGCACTGTTGTTGATAATATTGTAGTTTTAGATGTTGCATTACATCGAGCTTTCATTCTGACGTAAACTGTTATTTGACTTTAGTGTCCCTTTAATGTAGCCACTTGCTACAGGCACGCTTGTGGGCACTGGTTCCAAAGCTTTGTCGTCGTCATCATCTGATTCCTCCAAATCACTCTTGACGCACACTTTATTCACAATGCCCTCATTTGTGCACGGTTCCAAGTGTTGGCATCATCATGTGTTGGTTCCAAGTGTTGGCCTTAATTAAATCATCCCAGAAAATGCCTCGCTTTCTGATATCGGAGTCGACAACGCCCTGCCCCAAGTCGCCGCCGGAGTGCTCCTGTTTGGAAACTTCAGGCTCGGCATCGAGTCCGATGTCGATAAAGTTGGCCTCGCAGAAACAGTTTCGCACACATGTAGCTGTTACTTCTGCTCACAAAGCCTTCACCATTTCCACACATGAACACAAGGCCATCCGAAAGGCAAGTTGGCTGCCGGGCGGTCAACAGCTATGAGCAAGCGCTACACAACGTGGCATTCGAACCTTAAACGCACAAACTACACCCAAGCCAATGAGCTGCACTTTCGATGTTGTGTTTTAGTGGCAGGAAAACGTGTGGAAGGCCTCCTGTCCACCATCCTGACCACACACCTACACCAACAGCGAGCAAGACATACAAGCTAGGACACGTGACACTGCTATGGGCCTGTTTCTAGTCAAAAAAGGAAACTTCTGAATTCGAGCTAGCGTGGCTGGCATTGCAGAGTGATGGAGATGGGAAAAGAGTTGCAATGAAAAGAAGAGAGTAGACTTGCAAGAGACAAGCAAAGGAGTTGTGATAGAGTGAAAAGAGGGCATACAGTGGGAAGACGACCTTCAAAACTAAAACACGCAGAAAGAGGGCAGGTTGGGTAGGTTGCGAGAAAGGTCCACAAAACAAGCGACTCACACATAGGAAAACTTGAGAGAGTGGCCTGCGCGCACAGGGGTGACCGAATAGCACCGTAGCGCAGGCAGGCTTGCACGTCCTCACCGACTTCATTATTTGCGGTTCGTTTCCCATGTAACTGCCGCTTCTACTCTTTCACACGCGTGCGGAGAGCATGCTGAGCGGAGTGCGAAGCAAGCGAGAACAGAACCTAAACACGGAATGAATCACAAATTATTAAACTTGGTGGGATAGCGCAAGTGCGTGCACTAAGACGATACGACACCGATCCAGACAAGGCACAAACACAGACACTCGGGAACAGTCGGCAGCCGACGGTGTTGGCAAATGGTCTGGTCACTCTAGGCCTGCGACACCAATGATAGTGTACAAAGACTAGCGATCAAAAACTGAGGGGAGATTTGTGGACCGACCAGTCTTCGAAAGATCAGTGGCAACTGTGTGAAAGCACAGCCCTCGTCTGGAGATGCGGGATGCTCTGAGTAGCATGGAGGGGGGGGTGACAAGGAGGGGTGTGTAATAAAAAACGGTCAGAGAAAGTGACTAGAGGGCTGCGTAGACAGGGTCGGCATTGAACAATAAGAATCTATGGCTATGGGCACCTTGCCAATAGTTATCGGTGGTCGAAAGGGGTGTCCCGGAAAGTCACCAAAGCACTGACTCCGTTCCCTGTAACCGATTGGCGGCGCTAGGAGATGTTCGTTTTAAATGCAATCTTGTACCATTGAAATAATGCATATTTCCACGGTCAATCATGTATCGTTCGTTTTAAGTGGAGCTGTTATGTGTGTGCCCAACTGTATAAGCATGTGTATAATTCAAGGATTGTTGTATTTGTTGCAGCCAGGCACTGCCACCAAAGCTCTGTGCGGCTTTGGCAGGCCTGATATCTGTACTACTTTCTTGTAAATGAGCAATAAAAATTATTATTATTACTATTATTATTACAAAACTTAGCCGGCACATAACTTTCCACAGGGTGAGCTATGTAACAACAAGTGCAGCACATAGGTACGTTATATTCTAACTCCAAACAAAACATCTAGCACTTACCGGCACTTTCCTTTCCCTTGAATATTACGTTGAGACTATGTTTTATGGTCCAAACTCACAATAAATATTTTGTGAACTTCATCGAAACTCCAGATGCCAAGTGGTAAGGCCACACTATGCCTCTGCGGCAGCTCATTCGAGACTAATGCTTTGGCTGACTGGTTACACAATAAAGGTTACAAGGCCTTTTAGTGGGTGCTGACAATTAGTACTTTTGCTGAGTTTCGAGGCATGACTGACACCGTGCTTTGAAGCAAAACATCTTCCCACTTTGTGTGTTATTCTGCAAGTGTGTATGTGTAAAGAGTGAAGATAGGTTCACCAATGAATGCAACTTCGGCACAGATGCAGCAGTTACCTACACCGATAATCATGAGAAGTGCAGAGTAGCTGCGGTGGCACCCTCAGAAGAAAAAATAGCCACAGATGGGAACAACTGCATGATCTATCTAGATAAGCACCTTGCCTGCGCTGTTCACACTAGGTACATATGAACAAAGTTACATACATACTGAAGCTTTAGCGCGCACACACACACGATGACAGAGACGATAAGAACACAGGGACCAGCGCAGACTAACTGATTTTTATTCAACAAGAAAACGGATTATATACTCTTTTCAGCCCCTCATGATCAATGCCCATGAGCCAAAACGGCATCATACAAAAAGATATAAGACAATGAAAACTTTAACAGATGCAGTGTAATAACAAATGCTAACTATCAATTCAGTTTCTTTTCATTCAGTATCGCTGAATGAAAAAGAAACTGAATTGATGAATGCGCAATGGGTATGTAAACACCACAGGGAAGCATGCCTAGAAGAAAGAGAGGGGGAAGCGAGCCTAGGTTAGCAGACGCGCTCCATGCCTTGGCATTGCGCGGCGAGAGAGGGGGAGCTTAGGAGAGGAGGAGGGCACACCCATGTGCAATGAGGGTGTAAATGTCGCGGGGAAGCATGCTTAGAAGGGAGAGAGGGGGAAGCGAGCCTAGATTAGCATACGCTTCCTTCTTAGGCATTGCGAGGCGAGAGAGGGGAGAGAGGAGGAGGGGATGTGCATGTGCAATAAGTGTGTGAACGCCGCAGGAAAGCATGACTAGAAGGGAAAGTGGGGGGAGCAAACCTAGGTTAGCAGATGCTCCCTGTTTCAGCATTACGAGGCGAGAGAGGAGGAGCGGACGCGCATGCACAGTAAGGGTGATCACGCCGCACACCGGATTGAGCTTGACGCTAAGCTGCTTCGCATATAAAAAATAGACACTATTTCAATAAAATGCACAAAAAGGTGTCATTTTCTCACGTGTGGTAGTCAACAATAATTCTGACAACAGTTCTCAACGAGGCATCTAATGCCGCTGTTGTCTCTCGAGCCAGGGACAGGCAGGCGCAGAGCCGGAGCTCGTTGAAGGCTCCAAGGACTGCATTGCAGTACTGGGACAGTGGTTCAAACTCAAGCAATGAGAAAGGCGGCTGCACATTTTCCTGTGAATGGAAGAGAAAGTGAAGAAGGACAATAAAGTACTCATAACAAGTTGGTTTCATCATTTAAAGGGGCACTAAAGTGAAACAATGTATTGATTTAGATTGATAAATTGTACTCTTAGAAGGCTAATAAAATTAACTTTTTTCATTATATTATCACCAGGGGGACGCCGTCGCGTGTGGATGTGAAAACATAGGCTCCGCGTTCAAAAATGTTTTTTGCACAGTTTTTCGTGCATTTGTGAGAGTCTTTTGGTGCCAGTCGACGCATAAAACTGCACGGACTAGATTGATACTAAGTATTTCACTGTGGGTGAGCTTTTTGACCCTTTTTCGAGACTCTTCTGGTTGCCCATCTGCTCAGCTGAGCGCGCTAGGCTGAGGCTACAGCGGAGTGGCCGCCGGCCCTTCTCGAAAGGGTTTTTCAGCGCTCTACGCACGAAATATCTATGCAAGTCTCTGTCGATGGGGAGGATATCACTCCCGATGATCTTCAAGATTCTGGATGGTCTGTGGCTACCACTAAATGTAAACTTCGTGGAACGCATACCCCCAGGACCGAGACGCAAGCAAGCGTCTCTATGCATGGCAACGCGTGGTCATCTCCGCGCTCCTGAGCTGCGGTGAATAAGCGTCTTATCGCTGCTTCTAGACTTCCTCACCTTCCAAAAGATCACCATCGAGTCATCGTGAAACCTAGAAATGGCCTGGACATGAGCACTGTGAGTCAAATTAAGTTCGCGAAGTCACTCGCAGTGTCTGGAGCGCTCAGTGAGGAATAAGTCGCGGAAGACGTGGTATGCCCGAACATGATGCAGAACATCGCAGTTATAAGCACCCCAGCGGAGAGGAACGCCAGAACATATTCCAAGATCACCGCCATTACTCTCAGTACCGTCAGTCTTGATGTTAGTGCCTACCGAGCTGCCCCCGATGACACCTGCAAAGGTATCATCAGGGGTACTGACGATACATTTGTCAAGAACAACTTTATTTACTTATCGTATACCCAAGGAACCCGACTGCACTCCAAGTGAAAGGAATCAAGAATTCCACCACGATGATCATCCCCTTTGACGGACTAAATGTCCCAAAGTTCGTCATAGGTGGAAATAGTTTGGTTCACTGCACCCTGTACCGTCGACAGACGGATGTCTGTTATGCCTGTGGAAAGCTAGGTCATCGAGTCGATGTTTGTCTCTTTCCAGAAGAGGCGGTCTGTAGAGGTTGTGGTATGTCTTCTCCTTCGAAAGATCACGTCTGCACCCCAGAATGCAAGTTGTGTGGGGGTCCACATCCCACGGCAGACAAGACGCGTAAGCATCGTTTTCAAGTGCCCTACATAGTCTGTCGACAAAGACGAGAGTGACGAATGCAATATACGATGAAATTTGCGGAACAAGACGCCGATGACATGAACTTCACAGATGGTGGAGGAGACTTCCCCTCGCTACCAGCCGCTGCAGGCGACCACGCTACGACTGAGCGCCCGAGCAGCAGCTGGCGCTCGCCTGATTTTAACTCACGGGTGCCTACCGTCCGTAACAGTGTGCAGTAAGGAAATCAGCACCACACCTGGGCATCCAAGATCAAGGGCTCCCAACCACAGGTAAAGGGGGGTACCAATCCAGAGCAACACTCAGATATATACGCGCAGATGCAAAGGGAAAATGCTAATCTCAAGGCCATTGTCGAGCAACTCAGGGCTGAAACAGCCAACTTAAGGAAATCACTGCAGGTTTCATCTACGTCTCCTTCAAACACAGTTTCCTGTACAGAGGTTGCATCGGATGCGAGTCACGATGAGGTTCCCATGGACTTCCAGCCCGGGGCAAAACCAACAAAAAGGAGAGCGCTAGAACAACCAGCCAATAACGAGGACACAGGTCAAGGGTACCTTGAATGAGATCAAAAATGCTCTCAGGGCGGTGGTTTAGTCGATTGCGGTATTGGACAGCAGAGTCACAAAGATCGAGACTGACCAAGTTAAAGCTTTACAATCAGCCCAGGCTTATCCGGCCTAAGCAATACCTAAGGTCAGGATCGTGCAGAAGGTGGCAACCCATAGCGTCTCTCAGGAGAGAGCTTCTGAAGGGCCCACAAATGGTGGGACACCTTAACAATTTCATAATTTGGCAGTGCAACTGCTGGGGCTTCCAATCAAAGAAGGCAGCTCTACAGCAGAATATTAAATCCCAGCCAACTCGACCACATGTTATTATGCTACAGGAGACGCGCTTACGGAAACAGTGAGCCTGTCAGGCTACACCCATCACGTCACGAAACCTCCAGATGGCCACGGCATCTGCATGTTTGTGTCCAAGAAGAACATTTATATTGAGCACAATTAGCACATGGCAAATAGCAAGTTTGAACACTCTTTTTTAGAAATTATACCAAGAAGCAACCTTAAAAATAGCATTTTCATACTCCACATATATAGCTCTCCAAGAGGAAGGCACCATCACTTCGCCTCATTGTTATCAAAAGCCATTACGATCGCTAGGAAGGTGGACGCACACATAGTTACAGCGGGAGATTTCAACGCACCCCATCATGCTTGGGGCTACCCACGCACCACTGCCAAGGGATCCAAGCTCTGGCAAGCGGTATCAGATCTGAATCTGACTTTGGTCACTGACCGCACGTTTCCTACCCACACGGGAAATTCCTGCTCTAGGAATACTACCCCAGACGTCACCTTTGTCGCAACCACGAGGGAAGTATCATGGTTAAACTTGGGAGAGGACTTGGGAACCGACCATTGTATTTTGAGCACGGCATTACAAATTCAGGCAAAGCCCCCTAAAGCTTTCAAATTCACAGATTGGGACCTCTTCCGTAAACTCAGAGCGGAGAGCGCAGAGGAGATTAATGACCCTCTGAATTTCGACAAGTGGCTGTCTCAGCTGGTCGAAGACGTCAAGTCGGCCACCAAAACGATACAGACTGATCTTCCGATCAATAAAAAGGATAGCAGGCTTGCTCATCTTCTTGAGAATAAAAACGCCCTCCTTGCTGGGTGGAAAGCACGCCGTCTGAATTGAAGACTGCGAAAACGCATTGCAAGTCTTAACCAGGAAATAATCGCTCACTGTCAGATGCTGGAAAAACAGCATTGGGACGAGATTTGCAACACGGTGGATGGTCAGATGAGAGTTGGAAAAAATAGAACCTCCTCAAACACCTGCTGCAGGAGATCAAATCTAAATCCAACCAGACACACTTGATAGACCAAATACTCCACACAGAAAGGAAGGTTAAATCAGACACGGAAATAATGGAGTGTCTGGCACAGAGATACCTCCCTTTGGATACAACCCGGCCTCCTTCTGGCTATGCGCAATACACGGGATCACCAGTCTTCTAAATGGACAAGCCTTTCCAGGAAGCAGAGGTCCGGACCACCTTAAACAATCTTAATGGAAACTCCAGCCTGGGCCCGGCGGCATCACAAACAAGACACTACGCAATTTAGACGATGACTCTGTCACCTACCTCGCCAAAGAAATCAATCGTATTTTGGAGACGGGGACTTTCCCTGAGCATTGGAAGATGGCGTTGGTTATTCTCATACCTAAACCTGGCCGCAGTCCCAGTCTTAGCAACTTACGACCCATTTCACTGATGTCTTGTATAGGCAAGGTCACTGAGAATGTCATCAACGATGGGATATCAAAGCACATAGAGAAGACTAACCTGTTCCCGTACAACATGATAGGTTTTAGATCACACCTATCTACTCAGGACGTCATGAAAATGCTGAAGCATTACATCATAGATCAGGAGACGAAAGACATGAGAGCCATTCTTGGACTCGATCTTGAAAAGGCCTTTTACAATGTCTTGCACTCCCACATACTTGCCTCCATCTCTTCTCTCAACTTAGGAGCCAACTTTCACAAGTTCACCAGCTCGATCATTCCTCAGGAATAGAAAAGCCACTATACAGCTAGGGGATCTCAAGCCTAAGCCCTACGATCTCGGTTCCTTCAGCACCCCGCAGGGCTCAGTCGTCTCCCCACTGCTGTTTAACATTGTAATGTGTGGCCTTGCTGCCAAGCTCTCAAACCAGGAAGGCATCAAGTTCGCCATCTACGCGGAAGACATCACCATATGGAGTGTCAGGGGCTCAGAGGGCTCTGTGGAGAGCTCTTTTCAAGAGGCCGTCGACTGTGTTAAAGTCTACATAAAGAAAATTGGCCTCAAGCTCTCGCCAGCAAAGTCCTAACTCCTCTTATATCGACCCACGAGAAAGGACCCAAGCCCAAAAACTGGCAACCACTGGCTAACATCGACATAAGGCTGGACACAGCATCGGGGCAGCATATTCCAAGGGTAGACTTCATACGCGTTCTGGGCATAATTATCGAGGCTAATGGACAGAACGGCCGCACGATCGACCGTCTGACTTCCAATGCGGAAGGAGTCATCCGACTAATCTCACGCATTTCCAACAGTCGGGGTGGTCTTCGAGAGCACAACCTTCTCAGACTGTTCCATGCATTCTTGATGAGCCACATAAGCTATGTCGCATCTATGCACAGGTGGCAACTCCATGAGAGCAATAAATTGAACATCCTCACAAGGAAAAGCATCAAGAAAGTTTTTGGCATTCCTATGCACACAAGCACTGAGAACCTTATAAAACTTGGAGTCCACAACATGCTTGAAGAAGTTACCGACGCTCAACAAAGGGCACAGGTTGCCAGGCTTTTGATTACACCAGCGGGGACAAAGATTTTGGTTGACACTGGAGTCAACCCCCTGACGCTCGAAGTGCAAAATACACCACTTGATGATTATATACGTTCTCGCATCAGAGTGTGTCCCTTTCCACGAACTATCCATCCACAGTACAACGTGGGCAGGCGTGTCGCTCGAGCCTCCTCTCTTTTAGCTCAAGCTCACAAACACTCGTCTGTTTCATGCTTTGTTGATGCCGCCCAGTACGACGGACCTTTCCGCTCACTTTGCAGTAGTATCTGTAGCTACTAAGGGTCAGATTTTATCCTCAGCGTCGGTTCGAACCCCTTCTTCTTACAAAGCAGAACAGATGGCCATTGCACTAGCTCTCCTTGATCCACAAAGGACTGATACTTATACAGACTCTAAATCCGCTGCTAGGGCCTTCGCTTCTGGTTCCGTGTGCAAGCAAGTTTTTAGAGCTCTCGCTGACAAGGATCTCACCCACCACACTATTATTTGGTTCCCTGCTCACCTTGGCTTGAAGGTCGGGGGCCTTCCCATTGTCAACGAGCTAGCCCACTCCAAGGCGCGAGGCTTCACTTATCGCGCCGGGACTTGTGCTTTTCAGACAGAAGAATTAGCCCCCAACCTTCACTTTAGGGACATTTTGACTACCTTAAACAAGATCACGAAGCACTATCAATTAGGCCATAGGTCCTTTCCATTGCCACACAAAAAGTTGTCTAGGCCACGTAACCTATAGCCATTACTCTGATATTTGAGAACTTTGTCCGGACTGCCACAATTGCAGTAATTTTAACCACATGCTCTGGAGGTGCCACTCTTTACAAAGAAAAAATGAAGAATTTTCCGAAAACTCCTTTCATTTAACGCTCACGAGTCCGGTTCTAATACAACAACTCAAGGCTGTCCAAAGGCTCACGATGCGGCGGTGAGGCTAGGCCTTCTTGTCCCTACGTGGGAACGGCCCACTATCCTACCCCTATAAAACGGGGGTGGAATCCTTCAGGACCCCAATAAAGTTCTTCGTCCATCCATCCATTACAAGTTTGTTAATAATTAAGTTCAATGTCTAATATTTGCACTTCACGCTGCAAGCTCTGCCCTTGGCATCATGGATTTACAAGAGTAGTTTTCGTGTTTTGGTGATATTAGCTAAACGAAATTTCCTGAAACATCACAGGTAAAATCTATGGCCCCGTCAGAGGACAATGTACTTCATTTTTAATGATTAGGAACTATGTGCGACCTAGCAGACGAGTCAAAATCTATGACTTCATGGAGTTTAGTGCAGTAATTTAAAAGGTGGTGTCACCATCCGAACTTTCTTCTTGTACGTTTTCTCGCTTACCAAGTGTCTTCTGCACCAAGAGTGGGGTTTTCAGTATTGCGGAATCGTAATGTACTAATATATGAAAGATCGTTTTCTCTTTAGTGTCTCTTGAAGCCAATCAGTGCAAGCTATTTTACAGGCTCTCATCATTCTGGTCATCCTATTTGCGCATAGTAAAGAACAAAGGCCTCTTCCAACACTTTTTTTTGAACTTAGTAAAAACTGAATTTTGAAGGACTCTGAAGCACCATTCGTGCTTGGTAAAAAAGCACACACAGTGGAAAGCAGCTACGGCTTGTGGGGATCTGAGGCGCGCCTGCGACCATTTTCGCGGGCATTCCGGCACACGGCCACACCCTTTTGCTTTCCTGCTCTGTTAACACCACATGGCAATAGATGGCGCCAGGTGCGGGCACGGCACGCGGTACGCGCGCGTCGAGGGAGCGCTCTCTTTTCCGTGGTCGGCGCCGGGTAAGCACGTGTTTTCCTTCGTCCGCGTCCCCTTTGGGACTCGCGGACTGTAGCCTGCCTGGGGTGGCCTTGGGCACCTCGGCAGGCGTGTTTACTTGAGTGCTGGCTTCGGTAGCGTACGCTAAGCCCAGAGCGGTGCCTAGTGCTTGAAGTGGTCGTACCACAACGAGCCGCACTTGCCGTAGGCCTACGCATACGAGGTTTGCTTAACACTCGCGACCAGGCCCATTGGCCATCGTGAGCGTGCGCAGCATAGCCGCGAGGGACCTTTTCCCGACCGGCGTGTCAAAGCTCGCCTTGCCAGCTGCGACGTGCTCGCGGTTTTCCCCTTTTTGTGAACGTCCGCGTGCGGGTGCCTTTGCTACCCGCGTCCCAGGAGCGGACGTTGTACTGTTGCTCGGGGTGCCGCCAGAGGCAATAAAGTGTTGTGTACTTTTGCATTAGAACACCGTCTATTTGCCGCGCCGCGCTAAACGCCTTATTAGTTGAGCGCGCGCAGAGCGGTGCGCTACACGCGAGAAAACAGAGTAGCGGCCCTGTGGCTCGCTAAGCGTGAACCCGCGGTGATCGTCTGCTGCAGCTTAGGAGCGGGGTCACCCACAGGCTGCGAACAGCTCTGCTAAATCTTACAGGCGTGCATGGCATTAAGAGATCACAAATGCACTCTAGTTCTCTGGACTCATGCCTTTTGCAAGGCCATCATACAGCACAGTCCCCATCAAACAGAAGGTTGGTGCCACTGGCAGATAGTTGACTCAAACCAAGAGCGGCACTTAGATCGAATGAGCTTTCTGCCATCACGTGCCATCACGCGCCACGCTCCATGATGTACTAAAATTATACTAACAACAATAACATCAGGGGGGTCCAAAAACCACGAATGATTAAGAGGGATGCTGTAATAGAAGGCTCCAGAAATTTAGATCACCTGGTATTCTTTAACCTGCAGACATAACAGAGTACACCGAAGTCTAGCATTCCATCAAAATGCGACCACCGCGGCCGGGAGTGAACCCATGACCTTCATGTCAACAGCCGAGCATTTGTAACTAATACACCACCGCAGCAGGCATACCAAAATTATGCAGTAGCAATGTCAACGCACACCAAAATAACACCTGGAAAGAGCGATTGCGTGTTGTGAGACGGGCTCAAAGTCATGACGTGTGCATGACATAGGTTCTTTCTCCTTTCTTATTACCCACTATGTAGCTCCTCATGCGCTCGTCTGGATGAATGAAAAGAACAAACAGTGTGTGACAACTCCCTGAAACCTCACTCATGCTTGACACATTCAAAGCTGTTTTTGCAAAGACTGATTAGTGAGGCGATAAACCTCAATGCTCTATCAACAATTACGTGGAGAGGCAGTTCAGGACCCCACAAAAACGCCTGAACTGTGTCCTGATTATAGGTACTTAGTGATGTGAGATTTTAGGTTAAATTTGACCACCTGGTGTTATTGAAATGGTTATTGAGAAACAATATAGCACACGGCATTGCATGTTGTCTCTATTCTCGTCCCATCTCAAGACATAGTTTTCCTGTCATGCTGCGGAATGAACTGCCCCGCGAGATGGTTATCATGTTCCATGAACTGTAGCCGTGATAACATCTGCACAAAGAGCAGCTGTGAACTTTTCTTGCATGTTATAATTGAGCACCCTTTTCAGCATAGAAGCATTGCAGCATGCACTAGGTTCTAGAACAATGCATAGACAGAAATAGTAGCTTGTGAGCTCAATTTAAAGAAACAAATGCTACAAAACTGACACTTTATGAACTGACCTGCGTCATGAGGGTGGACATAAGCATTTCCACGGGTGCGGTAGATGGCAATGTTGTCAGAGTGAAGGACTGCATCACCTCCTCAAACCTGGCGTGGAAAAAAACCAGACACACAAATGAGGACTTGCCTTCATCAAAAAGACCTGCATCGTTTCCCCATTCTAGGCTACTTTCACATAAAAACAAAGACAGATGACACTTCAAGCTTGAAGAAATTTGTAACCAGATGAATTTCTTGACCTCATGAACTAGTGTTGATGACTGGGCAAGTTGTTTCAAATAAGTTACAATGCAATAAAAAACGGCAGAAAATTGCCGAGGCATTCTTGTTTACTGGCCCTTTGTCTGTCTTTTTCAATATTCTCTGCCATGCTGTAAATATGAAAAGACTAGTGAAGAGTGCTTCTAAACTCAGTTCTGTACATAAATGTCGTGGCATCGCCAACAGATTACACTGCATTGAGCTGCAGTGGCCATTTTCTCACTAAATATGCAATTTTAACTTCGAGCATTATCTCGTATTCAATGTTCGCTCTAATTACTTTATGAACAAAGATTTATAGCTTCAAACTTTTGCCCTTTTAATTTTCAAACTTCATGCACTGCACTGTATTGTTCCCTCACCAGATTTTCCCAGTAGAGAAAAAAAGCTTGTTCCAAATGACCTGTTCCCATTTGAAAATAGAGTTTCAGACTATGAGGTCAGTGGTACTGCAATTCGAACAACAGCTAAAGAAAGGCACTGTACAATTACAACACCTCCAACAGCTATCGTACAGCAATACACAGTCTCCAAGATTGGAAGGCAGGGTTATTGATAGAAGGATGTTTGCTTTCATATAACCGTTCATACGGTCAGAAAAAAAATAGGCGAGTGATAATTGAGCAAGTACGATGCACTTTGCGATCCGGTCAATTTAGTGAGTACTGTTGTAGTAACCGCACGCAAACCTTTCAGTTGCACGGGTAATGGAAGAACTGAAGCGGGAAGAAGCAGCCTGCTGGAACTTTCGTGCCAGCAGTGGCCGGAAGTCTGCACCCACGCGACTGAAGGAGAGCCCAAAGTACATGCACTGTGACAGAACCGAGTCCAGCCGGCCAGACAGCTCTGAAGACAGGTCATGCTCCACAATGTTGAGGAACCGGCTCACCTGAAAGTGATTGCCAAAAATCAACTTGGTTGGTTCATGTGTTGACTGGTGTGACTAAATGGTCGATGGGACTTGATTGCTTTATTTGATTTGTCACAGTACAGTGTAAGAAGAAGCGGAGGGAAAAGCCGTAATGATGACTTGAGGGATCCCTCACCCCCTTTGTGAACAACGGCAGCAGCTGAAGGGCCCCCCATCACAACATTATCACAATATCATATACCTCGTACAGGGCATTACAATATGATATATTTTTTTCCCGTAAAACTGTCACATTGTTTTGCATAAAGATTATGTCGTAAAAGAAAAACTTTAACATAAAATTTGAAATCAACGATTGGAGTAAGAGCGACATAGCATAGCATCACGCGATATAATGTGTTGAAGTAACTCAGGTGTTTTACGTATTTTCCCCATCTACTGAATATCATAGCTACTACATACATGACGTAACTGCATGCATTATACAGGGCGCTATGTAGTGTTATCTAGCACACAGTGCAGACAAAGCCAAATGAACAGAGTAGACAACAAAGACAAGCCCTGATTTAGAACTGATAATTTATTTCGAAGAAACATGCATAAGCTAGTTCCAAGAAATAATCAAGAGACTTCTGTCCTTTCATCGTTGTCTGCATTGTATGCAATTATACAAAGGAACATAAACTAGCCTATACTAAAACCCTGCTAAGTAGTGATCCATTTATTAATTGTGCAGACCAGGCATGCATTTGCTGGTGCCCATCTTCAAGTCAAAATGTAGTTTTTAATGAACGAGTGTAGTGGACCTGGGTTTCATGCATCCCCAGCCAAGCAGTGGCAGCAGTGAGTGAAGCTTGTTTATGCTTTACTGCAGTAATTTTGGATGAGGTGGATTGACAACAACACGACAATGATGACAACTGTCACTGCCAGCCTCACGGAAGGCAAAGATGATCAATGCAAGCTCACTCTATCTTGAACTGTTTGTTTCTATCACTGTACAAGTTCCTCAAGACTGAGAAAAGGCTGTGCCCCACTTTTGTGTTGTTTGTTACGTAATAAACATATACGAATGAACACTTTTAACAAACGCCGGCAAAATACCTTCATAATGAGAAGCAGGTAAAAGCAAGTTACCTTTGATTTATGGAGTTAAATGAATGGAAGAAATGTCGACGAGAGTCCATGTTTTGGAAACACAATTACCCATACTGCACTTATCGTCCTGTTTCGAGCCTCGCCAGAAGTCAAGACGACCTTGCATTCTCGAAGTTTGTTTATCAGCCATAAAATAACAAGCCACGCCTACCTGGCTGGTTATCCAACTGTAGAAGATGGTGGCTCCGGGTTCGTTGCGATCTTTTCCCAGGCCAGCCAAGGGGTCGTCGTCAGAAAAGATGGCCCGATACTGAGTCACAATGTCAAAAAGGTGCACTCGACAGGCCTCCACAACACGCGTGAGATGCGTGTAGGCTGTGGTTAAAGCAAGGAAGGGAGAGGGAAACGAGAGTTTGACGTCGGCCCATCTTCAAAATCTGTTTGTGCTGCAGCACTCCCTGTGTGAACTGCACTCAGCCCGCAGCCTAAGGAAAAACCACCCACAGGCCACCCACAGACCTCTGAGTCTGTTGAGCGGATAACCACAGGTCTGTGGGTGGCCCCTCAACAGCAGAAGATAGTTGTGGCAGCTGGTTTCTGCTTGAATACTTTTTCTTCATTAATCTCAATACTACTATGTGCATATAGAGAGCTGAATAGTAATTGTCATTACTACGTAAAAAAATTATGTTTGGCTGATATAATAATCCCTGATGAATTTCACGACGATGTTCAAGTTGCTGACCTAAAACGAGCCACACAAAACGTAGGGTCTACATAGGAAAGTTAGCTATCTTTCACACTTGAGAAGTCGTTAATGTCACAAAAATGAATGAGTGCTATTTGGAGAGCAATGGCTGTGAACAGTGCTGACATCTTTTCTCAGGTTGTAAGCAAGTGCGGATATCACTATATACTTAATGTGCTGCCTGCAGTTGCACACATACTACAATCAAAAGTCGTTATAATGAAGTAATACTTGAAGTGCAAAGCTTTGTCACATCACGAAATTCGTACAGTCAAGTTTTCTATGTTTCAAGAGTAAAAAAATGTCAACAGTTTCTGGAGTAGCCCTGCATCTCATTAATAAGCCCCGTCACTGAATGTTCCTCAGAATATTCAAACCAATTACATGGCATCACAGCAATTAGTCGCCTTTCATCACTTCTACGTAATTCATCTCTTGACATTTGTGGCTTCAGATCACTTGCTGTATTAATTATATGACCAAATAATGAAAAGTAAATGAGTAAAATAGATGATAGGACGCATTACCGTCTTTTGTTGGAATGTTGTTCAGGACACTGTCAAACCAGGAGCCTCTTGCCTGAGAGCAAGGAAAAAAAAATTAAGGAAAAGGCAGAGAAATAGCCAGACGCTTCTCGTTACACACACATTTCGTATATCACTGAGAAAATTGGACTGCTTTAATGTTAACAAGAATATCAATGCATTTCATCGCAGCATTTAAAAAAAAGCATTTCATCAAAACTCGTACAGAGCGCGTGACTTCTGTAAAGAGAATGTTGCAGTCATATCTCTAAGCACCAAACACATGTACTATAACAATTTGTTATACAATACATATATACCAGAAACGTTTTTTTTTAATCCATTGTGCATAGCAATGTACAACAAGCATTCTATGCTTATAATGAATATATGATATACCCACATTTTTGGGTTTGATACCGCTTCACTGTAGCACGATGACCTCACTTCTGCTGAACTCCAGTTCCTAAAATAGGCCACTTACAAGTTATGAAGTGGATGAGTCATGTCCGGTAGCTAACAGGACTCTTCAATTCAGGTATTACCGTATTTCGATTGCATAATTTGTGCCCTCGAATGGTTTGCGCACCCCTAATTTTTAGCCAGCATTACTAAAAAAAATGTACTTGTATATTTCGCGCTCTCCGACCAGCCCAAACTAGCTCTCCGGCATATGCACTGAAAAGATTTTAAACCTTTGGATGCTTTCGACAAGGATGCCCCTGTTTGAGTAGGGGAGCACAGTCACACATAAAACGATCAGCAAGAGCGAAGTTGCTTCTTCCAAAGAATTTCCCAGCACTATGGTCCCTAGAATACTGCATCCGAACAACCAAAACCGTTGACGGGGCAGCGGCACTGCTTGGGCGTTTGCCTCCCTCCAGCTAGCTCCGCATCTCATTCACCATGAGAATGCATGCTTGTAACACGACGCAAACTATTTTTCGCATCGAAGGCATGCGAGGGCCTGTGGCCCCTACTGTTCCCTTCATTCTCAGTGTCCATGCTGTAATGCATGCTTCATTTATCTCAGAAGTTTAGATATCGCCGTCCCTCCGTCCCATTTTTACTGTTCCCTTGCAATGGGCTTCAATAATTATATATACCGGTACAGCGAAATTCAAGCTTACTGTTATGAAGTTTGAGGAAGAAAGCGGGGACCGTGCACTGCCAACCACTTTAGCATGAAGTTCTTCAATATGTGATGTTTGGTATGGGAGAAAGCGGAAGAGTGAACATTTGCTAATACAAGTTGCTTGCCGCTGAAGAAGACTTTCTTAATTATAGGGCCTCCGGTATCGCTGAGTCGTGGGACCTGGTTTTTCCCAGCCTTGCTGAGAAGAGCTTTAAAAAATCGGGCTTTCAAGTGCGCTCTACGGAACCAACAACAGCGAGCTTTGGGAGGGCGGTCTGCGATAATGATTATCAATCAGATCTGTTGGCCAGTGATTCCGACTAGACCACACATCACCAGGCTTGGCTGGTTTAAGTGCATGCTAATTTTGTTAAATAAGCAAGTACACCTCGTATGCACTCCGACTGAGTTCATTTTGTTTTTAAATGTATATACTGCACATGTTCGGACTATACCCTAGGCACATTATTTCGGATGCATTCATGAAATCACCGCATAATTATCGCACTGCTTTTTTGGAGCTTTCAAAATAGCAAAAAAGTGCAAATTTTGCAAGTAAATATTATAAACACTCAAGCCTCATTAAAGAAAATCACACATCCCACGAAAATACTCCATTATATCTAAATATTCATTATGAATACATATTTGTAGCCCTGTATCTATGACAAAGCTACCGTATAAGCCGGCTTATAGGTCGGACCTGAATATAGGTTGTCACTCTAAACTTGTGAATCTCCGAAAAACTTTTTTTTAAAAATCGCAAGTATCGCGGCGCACCCTTCTCTTGATAAATACATGACACAACCAGCTGCACTGTGGTGACATTTCTTCTTATTTGGATACTAATATTATTTAGTTTAACATCAGAATGCCACATAATCCTGTCACTCAGACTCGTCCGAACTAGAGTCCGACAACAACTACTTATCACTAGTAACGGCATCGTCCTCCATTCCATGCAATGCATTACTGATACAGCATTTGTGGAAAGACGGAAGTACGCCATCTCAGAGCAAAGCCCTTCCACTTCATAAATCAGAGCACCCACAATGGCGATCCCTTCAATTGCACCCTCGTGAGCCCAAAGTCGTGCACTATCTCGAGAGCTTTCCCGCGGATGCACTCCGCTATTACGGTAGCAACCTTGCACGCAACTTTCAGACGAATTCGGAGAGTAGCATTTCTAGTTCGGGGTGCACTGCAATCTGTCTACGAAACGATGTTTTTTTGTTGTTGTTGTTGTTGCTGCGGAATGTGATGCGCTGCTTTTGGCTCTTTTAGTATAGGAAGCTTTTCCCCGATGCGTCGAATTCCCGTTGTGCCGCCAGGTTGCTGTGTGCTTCGGCATACTCGATAACTTTTTTCTTAAAGGGGCCCTGAAACACATTTTCAAGTAACCTTAGCATGAATTCATTGGAAGAGCTTATTGCATCACGAATTCAATGCCGCAAAAATTTTAAAAATCCGTCCAGTACGAGTAGAGTTACAAAGGTTTGTCTAATGGTGCAACTGCATTCTCTCTACTCTCGTCCCGATGAAAGTGCTGGAAGCTAAACAGGGAAGGATGGCAAGACTATAGAAAAACGTCACGTGTACCTGGCCACCTTGAGCACTTCCTTTTTTTCTTCAAATGCGCGGCTTTTTCAGTGCGATCACACGAGCACACGTGGACAAGTAGCGGACTCCCGCGGCAATCTTTGTAACGAGCGAGCACGCCATGTTCAAATCCGCCAATGGCCGATAGATGGGTTATTGACATGTGATTTTTGGGCTTATAACATGATTTGTCAAGAGAACAGAAAGCAATTTTCAGCTGACTTTGATAATTTATTGCGAATTCCAGGCCGCGTGCTGTGCTATAATATTTAGCTCGCGTGCTCTCGGGAGCCTCTACTACCAATCAGCAACATTTTCTGACCAAGCGCAGAAAATGTTGCAGGGTCTTTAACACCTATCATAAACTGCAATTGACTACCACTCATTTCTGGGGGGAAAAAAAAACAGCAGACTGACAGCAGATAACCGAGGCAAAATAATGTTGCTATAACACTGTAGGCTTTGCCTAGCCTTGCCTAATGACGCTGCTGCTGATGCTCACGATGGCAGTGGAGGCTTTCGGCTTCAGCTTCCCCTTGTTGCGAAACTTCCACCATTTTTTGGAGCCTCTCACCGAAGGACAAGAACGCGTCATTGTTTGCCATTGAGACTGCCATGGCAGATGTTGTTATGGGTTTCAACTTAGGGAACAAGGAATCTAGTTTGCTTATTTTGCATGAACTGCAGCTAGATCAAACATGCACAGGTAACCAGCGGGCGGTTGAGAAAGAATATCGCCGTGCCGTCGGGTCGGAGATGAAACGTGCATCTTCAGCGGCGTTCCAGGCAGCCGCAAAGAAGAAGCACAAGCAAAATCCTGCTTCAGACTACTCCGCGGGGGACTTTCTGAGTGATTGTGAATACAAGTGCTGTGGCTTTCATGCATGAAATTTTCATTTTCACAACTTTTTCAGTTTTTCGTGTTTTTTCTCAAATACAAATTTTTGTGTGTTTTGAATTTTGGGATGAGCACTGTGTCACTAATACAGATTCGATTTTCTTTATTTTTTTTGTTTGAATGCTAGGGTATTGGAGTGTGCAAGAAAACCTTGATAAAATATTTAAGGACATTGTAAAATTTTGAAATTTTCCAGAAATCACGAATGTAAATTCAGAGCTATGAGACTGCGACATAAAAACGTCATAAGATTGGGTAAAATTTAGATGCTAGCATGAAATTGCATATTTACACTATTTGAATATTCAGCAATATACAGGTTCAATTCTAGCTCTTTTGATGCATTACTTTTTATGCAAGTCACATCCGAAATTCATGAAATAAGAATAGTTGTAACTTTTTTTTTGGATTGATGTAAAGAAAATGTAATTGCATATTTTTAATCAGTGTATAAAGCTGAATATTATCTGAAGACATCATGTCTCTAGGCCTAATACTAATATATTTCTCTGTCGGGCACCATGTCCCCCCTAAAGAGAAATGCCGAGTAAGCGATTTCATTACAGTATTTGGCCGCTACCTATACTCTGTTTCACACATCATGTGCAACGCTGAGGAAGCTATTGAGACTTCTTGCAGTCGATGTGTTCGCAACAGAAAGTGGTTCAATGTTCTTACCACCAATAAATTGATTTTTCTTTTGTTATTACCGTGAGGAGTAATTTAAGATAATATTTGGCTCACAAACAAAAACGCCATTGAACGTCTGTTATTATGAGGCTGTAAAGCTTAGTTTTCACGTGACGTCTCATACAGGCTCTCTACTCTGGGTACGTCACGATGGCGGCCACCTGGACTTTCAGTGTCAGTGCCGCATAGGACACCACAGGGTTGTTCGGTACCCATGTTCTTTTGTGCCCACCCCGTTTTTTTCTGGTCGCCAGTCGCGCAAAAGGGGAACACAAGAAAACGCGAGGGTGAACCGGCACTAATTAGATGTCACGCGAGCTACCACAAAACGCGTGGAGTTATGCGTTTCGCTGGCCGAACTTCTTGCATAGCTTCCACAGCGTTGCACCTGATGTATGAAACGAAGAATAGACAGAGTGAAGTTTTCACATTGACAAAACAGAACATTGGCGATGCTTGGCGTTTTCACCAAACGATGCGCATTACCTGCAGAAAGCGGACACGTAGCTCTGCCTCAGAGTAAACATCCATGCGGCGCAGGTAGCCGATGACCTTGAGGCACGCTGGCAGCTGAATGTTGGACCGCAACTGTCCAACCAGCTGACTAAGCATCAGCTGTTGGGACTCACGGACTTCTGCACCAATGCTCTGAAACGAGTTGAAGATTGATTGATGCACTCACTCACTAATTACTCTCTCCATCCCCTCAATTCACTGATTTGTTTATTATTTCCATGCACGCTCATTTTGCACTTATAATTAGCAGGTGTATATTCGCTCTATGAAGAGCTGTATGTTTTTTTTTAATTTCCTGTCTGGCTGTTGGAACCTGTCACGCCCGAAACGACACATGTAGAGGTGCTGTACTTGTTTACAACCACAGTCACTGCTGTGCATCCCACAGACAATCTTCATACATGTTCAATTCAATAGCACTGAATCAATTTGGCAATGTAAAATACTTGCTGAGTGATTCAGATTGTTGACTTTCTCCAACAGACACACGTTTGCACCGGTAGCTGTAGGGCAGACTCTTGAACATCCTGGTAATTTGTGTCGAGAATTATAACACTTGCTGCTCAGCCAAATTTAATGTTTCAGGTAGTAATGATGAACCTTTCACTCGTAATGAGTGTAGTGTTTACATTAGCCAAGAAAAAGTACTTGCGATTTGAGTGGAAACTAGCTGCACCTTTCACAGATGAAGGGAAGGCACACTGATATCCTGTGGGTGGAGCATTAATATTGTTCTTACGCAATAAGCAACTACAGGAGTGTCCACGACACCTCTCAGTAGCTTGGCCGTGCTTAATTTGTTGATGCAACTGCTGTCACAATAAAACTTTCTTCCCTGCACATACTTCTGCAGATGCTTCCACATCAGCACAAAACGGCATCACAATGGCACCGACACAAGCTTGCAATTTATAGAAAACTACGAAAAGCTTCACATGGCTCTTGCCACCATCATAATCAAGCTCACTTACTCTGCCTCCGAGAGTTACACATACTCATCATTCAGCCAAAATAAAGGAAAAATGTTATGAAATGGTTGTTAGCTATGTTAACATTTAAAGAGTTAACACGCCTCCTATACATCAAAAATGGTAGAACAACTGTCAGTGCCAAGTACAGTATAATCTCAAGTGGAACTTGGAGGTACTTGGAAAATGTGTTCCTTTTCACATGACTTTCACTTACCGACAAAGGTACAATACGGTACCACACTAAAATACAAAATCAACCAGCATAAAGAGAACTGTTTTGTTTAGATTTCCATTTACTGAGATTCTGCTGCATTTGAAGATGCCCAAAATTGTGCCATAACTAGGTATGGGCGACTATTCAAGCACTCCAAATATTCAAATGAGTATACCAGTATCCGAATTCGCTATGACATGAATTTATATTGGTCAGAATTTAAGTAGTCAAAATGAACAATTAGTATAGTAAGGTATGCTGTCAGGCTAGTTGGTGTGTAGCTGGGTAAAACATCATTGGCACAAACTTGAAAGTTTGTGCCAACAATTTTTTACCCAACGATTAGTATATTTGACCACATGTAACAGCTGCACTCGACCCGCAGGTCGCGGGATCGAATCCCGGCTGCAGCGGCTGCATTTCCGATGGAGGCGGGAATGTTGTAGGCCTGTGTGCTCAGATTTGGGTGCACGTTAATGAACCCCAGGTGGTCGAAATTTCCGGAGCCCTCCACTACGGCGTCTCTCATAATCATATGGTCGCTTTGGGACGTTAAACCCCACATATCAATCAACAGCTCCACTCCTGCACCCTCCAAAAAGGTTGTTTCACGGCAGCATTGGACCGCTGTGCCATCAATACACCGTTTCAGGGGACATCAACACAGCTGCGAAGTCGCACTGCAAGGTAAATAGCACATATTACCTGCACCTCGATTAAATAGTTTTTAAGGAAATATAATGCATTTCACAACTTAAGACATGTGCCCTAGTACTATTTAATGCGACTATGCAACTTTTCTTCGAATAAAGAAAGTGAAACCTGTACGTGCTTAGTTCCGATTCTTAAAAAATATCTGCTAGTTAGGTCATTACAAAAAAACGGTCATTATTCTTTATAAAATGCAATATACAATATTCAAATTATTCAATTCAAATTATTCAACGAAATCACTATACACTTTGAATTCGTTTCGAACCTCGAGTTTGCTATTTGCTCATCCCTAGGCAGAATTGAATCGCAAGCTACGAGTAGCGAGAAACTTCATGGTGTCCAAAGAGCAGAAAATGACAGAATGAGACAGACCGCTATGAGAGGAATAGCTGCCGCATGCTTCTTCTCAAGCCGCCGCACGTAGGCAGCCAACTCCAAGGCCTCATCGTAGCAACCGTTACGCACGCACGTCTCCATGAGCTGCGACAGTTCCAACACTTCCAACAACTGTGGATGCTTGGACAGCATCTGGGACATCTGGCGCCATCTAAGAAAGCACAAGGAGAGCACAAAATGGCACCGGGTTGAAGAAGGTTGTTTCCAACGCTACAGTGTTCTTTTTCCTACTGCTTACAAAACAGTATGACAATACGAGAGACGAGTGCACAATACAAACTTTCGACAAATTTGTCAGATGCAAACGAAGGTGAGGGTTTGGGTTATGCAAATATAGGGCAAATAAAATGAAGTGTCAAAATTCATATTTCGAAACCACAACAAGATTACGAGGCACAACGTAGCAAAAGACTAGAGATTCATTATGACATCCTGGGGTTTTATTAATGTGTACTTCAATTTAAGTACATGACTGATTTCTGCTTTTCCTTTCCATTATCACCTGGAAGCCACCCTCACCCGCTATGGAACCAATGATCACATGAAATTTTTTTTAAATATTCATGACAACTTAATTTTACAGATTGGTAAATTCGGTGATACACCGTGGTTGTCCGTGATTCTTTTTTGCTATAACAACACTTATATTCAGCGGTACTCCAGAGTGATGCTCTGAGAAAATAATAGTACACTCTGATTACTCGCGGCGATACTAGAAGATTTTGTAATTTCGTTGCCCTCTTTTCCTAAGAAAGCTAAGGCATGTAATACTGGAGGGCTCCGGAAATTTTGACCATCTGGGATTCTTTAACTTGTGCTTGAATTTAAGTACATGAGCTTCTATCGTTTTGCCGCCAGCAAAACGCAACAGCCACTACCCGGATTGAACTAGTGCCCTTCGGGTTAGTAGACGAGTGTCATAACCACTGTATTAAATCAAAAACTCAAATTGGCGCACAATTTAGTTCTATGGTGTTCAACTCTTGTGTGTTCACGATTGGAGGTACAGTTCACGTCTACTAAATATGTACACAACGATGAAAACTAAAGCACTCATAAATTTTCGAAAAGTCCTTCATAAGTTTACTTACCCATTCTAGCACCTGCATATGACCAACACCTTGGAAACACTTAATACAGCTAAAGAAGAAGAAGGTAAACAGCATAAATAATGTAAAACGCCGTTAATTCAGATTTCACAGTACCAGAGAGAATGCCCAAATTAACCTAGGGTACGAATTATCGTGAGTACGAATAAAGCACTTGAAAAATGTCTCCTACACTATCAGACTTTTATTTATTAAAAAAGACAGTGATCGCGGTTTACTTCACGAACACAATGTGCAACGAAGTCCCAATTTTGCGAAGTTCCTGCAGGTCACTTAGTCCGTGCACACTGTCTGAGGAAAGCATGCATATGTCCTCCAAAACAGCCAACGCATGTGCTGCCTCTGTCATAGTGTGGCGTGGACGCGCGTCAGCATCACTTATGTCCACATCAGCCGATTCCTCTTCAAGACTTCGGCGACGATATCACTGTCGGTCACTGTGCCGGCCACGGCAACATCGCTGTTAATTGCGAAGTAATCGCCCAGGGGCACATCAGCTGGCATGATGCTCACATAGCGGTCGTCTTGCTCTTTGCCAGTTTCCTCACCGACCACCGCCCCCGGATCAGCAGCGTCGTGCAAGAAGCCGCTATGCCTAAACTACTGCAGGAGGTGTGTTGTTCCACACGTATGTCAGCATGTGGATTGCACTTAGCAGGCTTACTTTGTACTGCTTGCCTGACTCCATGCAGAGCAACATCCTCTAAAGTACCTGCCATCAATAGCGGCTTTTTACAAACTTTATGATTCCCTGGTCCATCGGCTGCAGGGAAGCCGTTGTGTTCGGAGGCAGGAATAGCAGTTTAATGTTCTCGAGCCTGAACACCTTCGTGTGCGCACTTCAGTTGTCTAGCAAGAACAACAGCTTCCGAGCCTTGGCTGCAAAGCGGTGGTCGAGCTGACGCAGCTAGTCATCCAAGCCTTTCTGTTGAACCAGTAGTCGACAGGCAGCTGCTTAATATTCTTGAAACATCTTGTCTTCGCAGCCTTCCCGATCACCAGCAGAGGCAGCCGCTCTGTGCCGGTCATATTAGCAGCCAGAAGAACAGTCACACGCTCTTTACTTCGTTTTCCACCGACGCACGGGTCCCCCTTCAACGCGATTGTCTTGTCATGCAGAGCCTTATAGAACAGCGCTGTCTCATCTGCGTTGAAAATGTTGCACGGCTCGTATGTAGAAAGGCGCGCAGATAGTCCAGACTGCCAGTCCTGCACAACACTTTCGCCAACCGCACCTCTTTCACCACACACGTTGCGGAACACCAGCCCGTGTCGCTTCTTGAAGCAGTCGAACCAGCCTTCCAACGCATTGAAGGAGTGAATGTTCATAATCACTGCGAACTTCTCTGCTTGTGTGCAGATAAAGAAGCCGCTCAAAGGCAAACCCGTGTCGCGCAAAACGGCAAATAGCGCAACAGTTCTTCTTCTAGCTTCAAATGCGCTGCCGTTCGAAGCCTCTTCCTTTGGCCGCCAAACATGTCCCCGTCATACGCTTGCATAATCTGCTCTTCGGTCTTCACGTTTGTGCTCAGCGTGCTTTTCCTCACATTGAACTTTTCCATCACTTCTTTTCGAGATGCTCTCGCTTGCAATGCCTTCAATATTTTCACCTTCGCAGCCAAATCCTTTACTTCGTACTTCGCTCTCTTCGCTGCGGGGGTTGGGGCGGTTGGGGCTGCAGGAGACGAAGGGGAAGCCGTCGTGGCTTTGCTCGCACGGTGGTCACGCGCGCACATGAAGTAGACAACACAAACACACACACAAAAAAATACACGGTGATAAAAATGAAATAAAAACTGGCGAACTTTTCAAAAAACAGCAAACAATAAGACTGCAGATGGCACTGATTACGTAGAGATAAATAATTTAAAGCACACTAGGGGTGAGCGATCGAACTCAACTGTCACACAAACGTATTCAACGCTCAAAAAAAAAAGGAAAGGCAAATCCGGAGGTTGCCTGATGCTCACCACAGTAGCGATGCACTGCCTTTCATTTTGATTGTTTAAACCACCATGTGTTTTGGGGGGGGGGGGGGGGGGGCACCTTCGAGCTGTATAACCTATGGACGAAGTTTTGAATCTCAGAGGCCACGATCCGATCCCAAAGTTGTTTAGGTTCGCCGTCGATTTGGCGGGCAGAATCCGCTGCTGCTTCCTCTCCGTCGTGAATCGACCGCGGACGGGTGTTCAAATTAACTGAAGCGCAGCCGAATTTGTCCAAATTAATGAGAGTTTTCAGCCACAGAACAATGTACATTTTGAACAAGACCAGACGCCGTGGCCGAATTAACTGAAATTCCGAATTAATGGGGGTCGAATTCACGAGATTTTGCTGTAAAACAATTCAGAAGAAAGGCCACAAGAGAAATTTTGAATTCTCACCTTGTGGTGATTTGCTGTGACTGCTGGCCAAACTGCTGGCATTTCTTGGCGAATTCCGGCAGCTTCTCTTGTAAGGCGTCCAACTTACTTTCAACCACGCTGAACTATCAAGGTATTGGCAAAAAAAGAACAAAAGCAGAACTGAGAGCAGCTCTTATGATTAAAGTTTGCACCATGAGAGACAGTCTTCACTATCAATGTGTTTGTTTTTTTCCAACCTCTGTTAACAAGTTTGAACCAGTGACAATATTCTACAAAGAAATAAATTCCTCCTAGCAGAATTTACGAATGTGTTAGCATCACTTTCTGTCCACTCTTCTTTTTCTTTTTTCCCAATTTTCAATCTTTCATACTTAAAAATGATGAGGTTAATACAAGTTAATTTCAAAATATTATTCAAAAGACCATCAAAGATGAAGTGGTTGAAGTGCTATTGTGAATCGCACAAATCAAATAGAGACACTGGGGATACTTTTAAAGCATACAGCTGACAGTAATAACAGCATTAAAGGCCAACACCGGCGATTTTTAGAGGTCAATCAATCTCAGTGAAATCCGCTGGGCACATTCCTTTGGACATTTCTGTCATTTATGCCAAATTACAGGCTTGAAAGATGCGCAAATTATTTGCAAAGGAATTTGAAAGGTTGCCTCAAAAATCTCACCTTGCTTGGCAGAATTATTGGCAACACTGTCTGTTTGACGTCGTGTTTTCCATGTCAACTGAAGTAACGAAGCCAATGACATCGCTACTTTGGCCACTACAGCGTTTATTGAGCTGGCCACGAGGCGACAACGGCAGTGTTTGGCACGGGTATAGCACGGGAAAGCCCTCTTCCTTCCTCTGTGGTGTCTGGTCGGCGTTTCACTGGTCTGGTTTTCACAGTTTTCATACTTCGCGCCGGCAGGACCAGTATACGGCCTCCGGTTCTTGCTAAATAGTACTTCATATGCAGACAGGGCACTTGGTTGTGTTTCGATTTCGGTATTGCACCTTTTTGCTTATTAAAAATTATTTTCAAATATCCTGAGAATTTCAGTTATTGGGCTCGTGACAAGAGTGTGTCAGGAACATGAAGGAAGAAAAAACTAAGGAGAGGCCCTATCCTAACCCAATGCATTGCGAGAAGTGTGGCGGAAGTGACGTCAAACTTATGGTGCAAACAAACCGGTATGGTGCAAAAAAAAAACAGCAGACGCTCCGCGGCATGCTCTCAGCGCTGTTTCACTTATATAGTCCTGGCATTATCTTAACGCATACTGTATGGTTTGCATGCAGTAAAATGTTGCGAGCACACCTTTCCCAGACTGTTTGTGCATGGAAGGCCCGAGCACGGTGTGCTGAAATACTTCGTGGAGTGTTTTTGTGCAACGGCACAGAAAGCACCGGTATGTGTCGGAATGAAAATCATTCAGCCCCTGCATGATCGTATTCGAACTCACCCGGCAGTGACTTACGCGTTCTGCTCGCCACAAGGCCTTTTTTTTTCTCTCTCTCTCTTAGCCATATTTTCTGATCTATGGGCTGATAAGCAGTTCTTTGCTCGTATATAGTGTCACTGTGGCAATGCATGATTTTGAGAGCTTGCTTCGTAGCTATTCCGCGCAACGCCAGCCTAGTACTTGACTTACTTCACGTCGGTAAGAAGGCACAGCTGTATTGTACACGTGATCCTGCACGTAAAGTGTGTATTTCCAGTGCGCACACAAGTAACATGCAGCGAGCGCACACCGTATAATGCATACGCACTTAGTCCGGTAACAAGAAAAGTTTATTGTCCTTCCAGATGAATGACACAACTTCTAAAAACGCAACATGATGCCTACAACAGTAAAAATGAAAGCTTGCGTGTCTTCTCAGTTGAGAGAGAGAGGGAGAATTATTTTAATGGGGAGGCGGAGAGGTTTGCTTGGTTTTTCACCTGACAGGCTACTCCAGTTGCCGGGTGATGACAATGATTATTCAATGATAAACACACAACACATACAGTTACATACACGCATAACAGTTGACACAATGAGTAAGAACTAACGGAGCGTACAGCTGAGAGCTCCGCATGCAAATGCTATCAGCAGTGAAGCGAACATACGTGAAAAGTGCCACCAGGTAGATCCGGCGGTGCACGCGATTCGCACCGAGTATACACTACAGCTGGGAATCGCACAGCTTTTCTAAAAAAAAACACGCAAAAGAAGCATCTCTCGTGGATTGATTCGCTGTCGGCAGAGAACACCGCTTCCAAGGCTGCTGCGGCGGTTGGTCGCCGGAAATCGTGAAGTGTTTATCTGCTTCGCCGCTAGGAAGTAGTGCGGGTGTTTGGGATGCGGCGGCTTCACGAATATGACGTCATGGCCTCTCCTATATTTTTCCTTCCTCCATGCTCAGGAACATAGAAACTCCATTACCTTGACATGGTCAAAAAATCGCCGGAGTTGGCCTTGAAATGATGGAAGCTCAAATCATCACCCACACGTTTCATCAGATGCCATGATAGCTCGTAGCCAATACGATACGAAGATGAGACCGGCTCGGCAACAACAGCAGTATGGCTTAATGGCACCATAAAATTGCTACAGCATAACAACTGCAGCACGACATGAACAAACGATGATGGCATGAGGATGACATTGATAGGATAGCCCGAAGAGAACTGTTTCTTTGCTTCAATCGTAGAGGTCAAATAGACCTCCATTCGTGAAAGGGAAACTGTTGTCCAGTTCTGATACAACTTGTGTAGCATACACAGACAGAGGAAATCCACACGTATTTCATCAAAAAGAGAGCTCTATAGCTGGCAAAAAATTCCGTTCTTGTCCGGGACTCAAACCCGAGACCAACACTTCTCTAGGGCAGTGACTCTAACGTGTGAGCTATTCAGGAGGTTCGTGGAAGCCAGTACAAGGGTGATGTAATCCGTAACTCAAACTCGTGAATACTGAATATGACAAACTATTTCTGCAGAAGCCATTATGACATCGTACCACGACAGGGTATACAACAATTTTTCTTTCAAGAATATGCAACCACAAAGCGGATTTCTAAAGATATGGTTTGCCATCCTCCAGTCGTTTGCTTGAATATCTTAAGAATGCGATTTAATGGAAGAGCAAATGTAGAAGAAGCTACAACAGATATCACAAAATGATTTTTCAAGAACTGGTTAGAGAATGGAACTTCTCATCTTTAGTATAAAAAACTGCCACTCAAGCTTGTGAAAGCTATTACTGCATACGTGTCTGAATGAACTCGCTATAGGTTTCAGGCATCTCACCTCTTTAAAGATGTCCTTGGAGCACTGTGCTGTCTTAATGAAGGTCTTGTAATTCTCAAAGGCCAGCTTCTGTGTCTGCTCCAAGACCTGAGCTTTCTCCTCTGCCAGTCGCTCTGGTTCCCGAGCTGTTCAAGATGCAAAGTGTGTTTGAGATAGTTCAAGAGGCAAAGGAAAAGGAAGAATATGCAAAAAGTGTGGGGGAGAAATTTGCTACAAGCAAACTAGCAATAGCCATGGCTTCAGCTGCTGGAATACATTAGCGTGTGTGTTGTGTTGTCACAATTAAGTTCAGCTCGAAAGAATGCATGTAAAAGTGCCATTTTGTTTCCATGCCTCCCAAGATGATTGAATTAAGACCGATGACATCGTGAAAGTGATAAATCAGTGAAAAAAGAAGAACAATGCAACTTTTCTGCAACTTTTAGGTGAATGTCAAATTTGCCTTTCATGAATGTATCCTCCAGCTGCCACACATGAATGCAGATAATTGACACAAATACTCATATATTTCATCTTTTTGGCAAAGGCAACTATCAATATTCTAATTACAACAATGGCACAGTTATAAGCATGCTACAATGTTAGGAGCAATCCTGCCATAGAGAAAAATGCAACAAGGACTAAAGAGTTGCACGAGTCTTTTTGAAGTTATGGCTGTTTCTAAATGTATTTTCTCAGTTGGCAATCTTTCTAGAAGTTCAGGTCACTTGTGTTCCAGATATTAGGTATGTATTCATTAATTGGGGTAGGTGCCAACAGAATCTAATAAATTATGAACAGGATCTGTCGTGCGACACAACTTTGTTTGGGTACACCATGTGTGTTTCCAGCATATGAGATTCAGCATGAAATCAACGACTGAGGGCGGTCAAGTAAATGAAATAAATGTGAAGCTGTAAATAAACGTAAAAAAAAACATGGAAGGTGTATTCAATACAGTGTTCATTTTTATGAAAGGAGCATGACAAACAGCTTCGTTCCACACATCCAGCACAACACAGTGATGAAATGTGAAAAATAAAAATAGAGTGCGATGCCATTCCGTCTATTTCTCGCGACTCTTGCTGCATTTTTACTTTTTTTGTCACTTTATGTTGTTGCGCCAGACGAAGCTGTGATAGCAGCAATATACTTTTTGCAAGCAATCATTGTTCGCTGATATGTCCCAAGATAAGACATGTATCAAGAAGAAAGCCCTGAATAGAGATATACTCGTGACAGGAGTGTAGGCAATAGAAGGAACGACACCACTTCCTCCTCTAATTTGCATATTTGCTACTGCGCCGCCGCATGTGGCGCGGTAGCAAATATGCCCAATTTCGTAGAAATGACGGATGCACGGCGACTTCATTTCAAGTGGCATGGCTTCGCGGTAACTGTAGCAAACGACACAATATGAACAATCGTGAGCAAATGGAAGATTTGAGTTCTCGCATCAGACACCTTGTTGCTTTATTGTTATTTGTGGGCTCTAAAGGCAGTGTGGTGCACAGATATTCATACTTAGCCTTTGGACGTCGTAAGAGCTCAATTCTTGCACGTAGGAGGTTATATCAGCGTTCTCCCTCCATGCGTCAGCTGAAATTATGATGCACAAAAACGAATATTAGCAAGATCAATCGGTTTATGTTAATCAGAAAAGGCCACCCCATCCCCTCTTTCTCCCCCAAGAACAAAAAAATACTCGTCCGCAGTTACAATGACACGTTGTTACAGACAAATAATCAGCCACACTGTTGTTGTTGTTTTTGTTGAGACATGTTATTTTATTGTTTTTATTGTCTGATTTCAGATGCCTACGTGACACTTTCGCAGTCGCTTACTTTGACATTCAATGCACAGCGCAATCGAACACTAAAACGAGTATTGCGGACCCAGAATTTCTCTATATACAGTTTACTGACTATTCCCCTAAATGATTCCCCAACACTGACATTTGTAAACATGGTTAAGTTGACAATTTCGTGTGTGTTTACACTCGGAAACGAAAGTAGGAAGTAGAGCACCGAACTACGATCGCACGCGTAACACTTCTACGTGAAATGACACAATCCAGAATTTATGGGAAATACTAGCGTTTTCTTACCTTCACCTGGTGGAGCTATAACAGAAAACAGATCCTTGTTGGTGTAATCACAGTCATCAAACTCAGCTTCGCGGCTGCCGGCAACTGCCATAATTGCAACCACAAAACAGCACGGCAATCGGCTTGTCATGGATTGAAATGCGTTTTTCAGCCAGGCCTCAAAATCGGCCTGGAGCCAAGTCAAGCAAGCACTTAGCGTCTGCTAGTGGGCCAATGGTCATGGTGTTCCGTAGTACCTAGGCGACATTCAGACATTTAAAAAGATACATTCAAGACGAGACGTCCTTATTCTAAATACAGGCGCATACGCAGTGGGCATACAAGTGGCCATGTTAGAAGGTCTTGTCCATAGTAGATGTTCGGTGGAGCTTTGTGATGAATTGTTATCCTAAAACGGTCTTTTTAGGGGCGAAGCTCCTTAAAGCGGCACCCGTTCGTCCCTCGTCGTAGTACGTAACATGTTTACACTTTGACCTGCAAGGTGGTGCCGGTGGGAGATTTCTCCTGTGCGTTGTTGAACAATAAAAAATTCGCAGCGTGCGCGTTAAATAAAAGCCGAATGCTCCTGTCTCTCATTCCCCATTAGCAGCCATTGGCGTGTACATTGAGACCTATCTAACAAGAAAGGGTTGCCACGTTATACTCGCTGAGCGTAACCTCCTTGGTTTTAGAAAGGTTTAGCGAGCGTTGGGCCACAGTGCCATGAATACAGTGAACTAGTATATACCATGAACTCGAGGTGGTTAAAGGTGGGAAGTGGACACGAAGAGCAAGCCGTAATAAAGTGTGCGTGTGGCACCTCTCGTTTAGTCCTTGGAATGTACACTGGATGGCGGTGCTTCTACAAGCGGAATATATGATGAAAAGATGCGAGATGATGGTACTTGGACTGTTGACTAGATGGACGAACGGACACACAGACATATGCATGGATGGGCGCACAGATGGCTGCATGGACGGATGGACGCATGAAAGGACGCAGGGGCGGATGCATGGTCGAACGCAGGGATGGACGCACAGACGGACGTGCGGATGCACGAACAGACGCACGCACGGACGAACGGATGGACGCATGGACGGTCACACAGATGCATGGACGGACGGAAGCAAGAACGAATGGACGGACGGACGCTTCGCACCCCACTCCATCATTCACGCTGTTTATATGCTGCCATTTTTTTTTTTTTTTTTTTTTTGCTAACGCTTCAATTGGCACTGCGCGTAGACCGACCACGTGCATGCGCAGGTGCTGTGAAGTGTAGCGTATTATTTATTATTGTGGTCCTTTTTGGCTTAGACCAGTGTATTTTAGTACAGTTTTCTAACACGGGGCATCGTAAACTGAGCTAGCCATGGTTAAAAAGACCGTAAAGTGTTCAGAGTGCGGGATAGGGTTGAAGGTGGAAATTAGTGCGGAAGAGAAAGCAGAAGATGACGCCAAGTGTAGACAGTGCGAGATCGAGGAGAAAATGAAAAATATGATGGCGGTCCAGAGTAGGCTCATGGAGAAAATCGCAGAGCTGGAGAATGCATTGGCGAAGGAGCGAGAGAAAACGTCAGCCATGGAGGAAAGGCTCCGGGCAGCCGAGAAGGGCCTATCGAAGGTCGTGAAGGGGAACGAAGACGCAGGTGACGGCGGAAGCATTATGGCGACGACCCACCGTGCGGGAGAGATGAGGGAAACAGGCATGACAAAGGCAGATCATTGGCCACAGGGCCCAGCTACCGGGAAGTAGTTTTGAGGGAGGGAGGGAGCAAACAGCAGCCGTGACTCACGCTAGTCACCTAGTCAGCAGCCAGGTGCAGGTTTCAGAAGGAATGTCTGAACAGGTCATCATCGCCGGTGACTCAAATTTAGTCCGATGCGCAGCGGCAATCAAAGAAAGGGTGAAAGGCGACAAGAGAGTTGCGATAGGGACGTTCCCAGGACAAACGCTGGGGACAGTAATGAGTCAAGCGGGTGAACAACTCGCAGCTAAAGCTAACAATCGCAACCTCGTTGTAATTGCGGGAGGGTTAAATGACGTCCTAAAAAAAGAATCGTCAGGACTAGCGACGACCTTGGCGAAAGGGGTGGATGACATGCGCACCGTGTCCCCCCAGGTGCAAATTGTAGTACGCACAGTACCGGAAGTACCAGTACGCAACATCAACCTGCAAAGAGCGGTAGTCGACGCAAACAAAGAGATATGGCGAATTAGTCGAGAGAAGGGTTTCGAGGTAGTGGATTTAAACAGGGAAGTGCACAGGTGGGTGGATTCCAAAGAGACAAGATTCATTTCGATAAGAGGCTTGGACACGAGGTGGGCTGGCGACTGGCAGGACGCGCAGTAGCTTTTTTGGGGGGCTCACGGGCCCTTCGGAGTCCGGGGTAGCTCGTAACAGGGAAAACAAACAGGAGGACGCTTTGACAGGTAGAATTGCGAAAAACCAGAAAAAAGGTAAAAGAAAAAGGAAAAAGGCGCGTGTTGCAATCAGTTACATAAACATGCAGGGTGGCAGAAAGAAGGCAAAATGGTTAGAGATTGAGGAGCAGTTAAACAAAGAACAGATAGGCGTGTATGCGGTTACAGAAACACACCTTAGAGACTTGGAAGAGCCACCACATATTAAAAATTATGTTTGGGAAGGGTGTAACAGGACCATATCGGAAAGGAAAGGTGGGGGTGTAGGAATGCTAATTCACCGCGGAGCCAAATGGGTTAGAGTGAAACAGACGTGTTCAGAGCACCTCTGGGTTCTGGGCACAGTAGGTGGAAAGGAAACGTGGCTGGGGGTAGCCTACTTGTGGACGGGGAATAACTGCAGAGAAAAGAATCAGGAGATAGTGGATTGCATGAGTGCGGATATTAAGGAATTTGGTAATGGGGCCGAAATCATCCTTCTAGGGGACATGAATGCCCACATACATGACCTTGACGGATATTCAGACACCAATGGGAAGTTATTACTAGATCTTTGCGAGCAACATAGTCTGGAGATAGTTAACACAGGGCCTAAATGTGACGGCCAGATCACATGGGAAGTCGGAAACAAGCAATCAAGTATTGATTATTGTCTCATGACTGAAGGAATTTACCACAAACTGACAGAAATGAGGATAGACGAGGAAGGCATTAACAGCTTGGGTAGTGATCATAAACGAATAACATTACAAATGGGATACGAAACTAAAAATACGAGCATGGAATCAAAGTCTGGCAGCTCGTATTAAATGACAAACAAATAATAAATATAGCCGCAAGAGTCGAGAAAGAAGTAGGCGAAATACCAGGCAAGGACTGGGAGTATAGGGAGCTGTTACATCTAATGACGAAGGAGATAGGGAAAGAGAAGAAAACCGTTTGCTGGAAAGGAAAAAGGAAGCCAAAAAGTTGGTGGAACAAGGAAATCCGGGAGGCGATCGAGAAGCGACGCGAAGCATCACGGGAGCATAGAAAGGCAAAAAAGGAGAAGCGGCCGCAGGACGAAGTCAAAAAAAATATGGGAAATATATTTGGAGAAAAAATCCCTTGTACAGAAATTGGTAGAGGCAAAAATTAAAGGTGAAAGTGAACGCTGGATGACAGAGATACACGAAAAAAAGGAGGCCGCGCTTAGGATTTTTTGGAGCCACATAAAGGCGCTAGGTAGGAAGTCTGTCACAACGCAACAACATATTCTAGATGAAGGAGGAAATCAATTGGAAGGGTACGAAGCGCTAGGTTACATCCAAAAGGTAACAGCCGATTCGTTTCAAAAGAGCGTCCAGGGGATCTCCCCAGTGAGTAAAAGTGTGGCGGAGAAAGCAACAGAGGAAGAGCTAGTACTAGATAATTTCAACTGGAAAAAGGCCGAAGGAAAAATTCCAAAGCGCACTGCCGCGGGTTTAGATGGGATTCCCGTTAGCCTCATTAACGAACTAGGACATAACACTAAAGAAGCATTGTTAAAAGCAGTAGAAAAAAGCTTAAAGGACGGACAAATACCGGACAGTTGGCGACAAAGTAGAATGAACTTAATCTATAAAGGCAAGGGAGAAAAGGACAAGATTCGCTCGTATAGACCACTAACCATTACATCGGTACTATACAGGTTGGCGATGCAAGCAGTAAAAATGAAAATAGAAACATGGGCCGAACATAACGATATTTTGGGAGAACTTCAGAACGGATTTCGAGTCGACAGGCGGTTAGACGATAACCTGTTTGTTCTCACTCAGTGTATAGAAATATCTAAAATAGAGAATAGGCCCTTGTATGTGGCTTTTCTAGACATCACTGGGGCATACGACAACGTTAATAAGGAAATTTTGTGGGATATATTGAAAGGAATGGGCATGGGCGACGACTGTATACAGCTTTTGAGGGAGATATACCGAGAAAATACAGTTTGCATAGAGTGGGAAGGAATGCGTAGCAAAGAGAACGTTGAGGTTAGCAGGGGTCTGAGACAGGGATGTCCTTTGTCCCCACTGTTATTCATGCTGTACATGGTGAGTATGGAAAAAGCGCTAGAAGGTAGCAACATTGGTTTTAATCTGTCACACAAACAGGGCGGCATGATGATTGAGCAGTAGCTTCCAGGTTTATTTTATGCGGACGATATCGTCTTATTTGCGGACAGTCGAGATGATATACAGCAGCTGGCGAATATATGCGGAAGGGAAGGTGAAGCTCTTGGACTAGGATTCAGTGTAACGAAGTGTGGTTTGATGGTATTCAATGATCCCTGTGATCAGACGGTGTCCATACAAGGCCAAGAAATACCGAGGGTAAGTGAATACAAGTACCTTGGAGTATGGGTAAATGAGAGTGATAGATACATGGAGGTACAGGAAAAAGCCTCGGCAGCAAAAGGAAAGAGGAATGCGGCAATAATGAAGCACAGAGCGTTGTGGGGATACAATAGGTATGAGGTGCTTCGAGGTCTGTGGAAGGGTGTAATGGTTCCAGGGCTTACTTTTGGGAACTCAGTGGTACGTGTGCATGAGGGCAGAGGTGCAATCGGGAATGGATGTAAATCAAAGGACTGTGGGACGCCTCGCGTTGGGTGCTCACGGGAAGACGACAAACGAGGCTGTAAAGGGCGATATGGGGTGGGCAGGTTTTGAGGCGAGGGAAGCGCAGA